CTCCCACATGGCAGACCACAGTTCAAGTCATGGACCTGGCAGCTTGCTTTCTCACTTTCTCTCTTTCTCTGTCTGTCTTACTCTGGTCAAATTAAAAAATAACAATGATGAAAAAAAATGATGATAAATAAAATAAACAAAATGATTAAAAAAAATATGCTGTCTCATGTAATATCAAAGTAACCTTATGAAATAGGTACCGCTTCATAGCTTAGGAAACTGAGGCTCAGAGAGGTGACATAAAATAATTTGCTAAAAGCCCCACAGCTAGTAAATGGCACAACCAGGAATGAAACTGTTTTATCAAACTCTGGTCCCCACTTTTATTCTCTAGACTAGTGTCTTTTCAAAATGAGCCCAAGTCACACCATTCATGAATTTTCAGCAAATCTCATGCCATTACTGTCTTAGAAAAGAAAACGTTGCAACTGGAAACTCCCTTCCACATAGAGATGGACTCCCGCATTTCGAAGGTGAGAAGCTGCACCCCACCACGGCACCGAACATTTGGAAATGTGGCTTTCAGACCCAGCATGGTGAAAGGCTGTTGATGTCTCCGGCTCTGGACATTCGGGCCCTAAGGGCAGAATCCCTACTCTTAAGTTTCATCTTGGCTCCAGCTTTAGTTTGCCTTGGGATTCTGGGTGTGGCCCTAACTCCAGGCATCGGTTTTCCTGTCTGTAACGCATGCAACATGACAGATGCAGATACAATGCAAATCTGCATGTGTAGTCCTCAGTCAGTGCTAGGAGTAGTGAAGTCTGTCCTAACTGGAGGAGTTTTTTCTTACCTTCGGACCAGTCATCAGGAAATTGTTCACTGACCTAGAAGAGAGGAGGACAGAGTGTGAGGGAGAGACACCAATTCCTTACTTCTTCCAAGTCTTGTAAGCAGTACTGCAAATACAGCTCATAGGAAGAAAAACTCATTTTACCAAGGAAACATTGTACATAACAAACTTAGAGCTAACGTATTTACTTTGAGAAATGAACAAGAGTATATGAATTCAGTGGATTTCTAAAGTCAGTTAAAATTTCCAGTACCATAAAAATTAGGCCTATGGAGCTGGCAGATGGTGTGTGGTGGTTGGGGCACTGGATTCCCACATGACCAACCACGGTTTGAGTCTCTGACCTGATGGCTTGCCTTCTCACTCCTCCCGCACTCTGGTCAAATAATAATAATAATTAAAAAAATGATGATAATGAATTCAATGAAATAAAATAAAATTTTTTTTTAAAAATTAGGAATAATGGGTCAGCCAGTGATGTGGAGGTT